GGGGTATTGTACTATCAAACCACCCGCTATAAACTAAGAATGTCTACGTTATTTAGTTTGCGAAGTAAAATGCAAAAGCATGCCGCAGTTCCTTTGCTTGACAGTTACTGTGCAATTGTTTTCGTGAAAAAGCTTTTAAGGTGAAAAAACTTGTACAACAGGCAAAACAAATTTCCGCTTCAAATGGACGTAGGCTCGGCGTAAAGTGTGATGCCCATTCAATTTAAGCAGCTAGAGAGACGGCAAGGACAGACGATCTGCCTCCATCAACCCGTTATTCTCCAACTAGCAGGCTGAGGATATCTGTGATTTGAAACAGCCTTTGTCAAAGAGAAGAAGTTGTGATTGCTAAAACATTACATCAATTAGCCTGACGGTTCGGATTCTTGCTCAAACCCAGCATCGGAGATAATCACAACTAAGATTTATGCGGGCGCCAGGGGTGCAGTGTTTATAGTAAGTACTTGCCATACCGTCACCTTCTAGCCCAATTAGCAGTTGTTGTGTTAATCGCTGGCCGCACCGTTAAGTTTGATGAGGCCGAAATTCTCGCGTGAACCGTGATCTGTTTGAGTCTTGCTTCTCAGACCCGCAGTTGATTAATAAGCGCAGTGACGTTGCGGCTACATTTTCTGTGTACTTAGCGATGCGGGGAGGACACGGGCGGCTAAAGGTTTCAGTAACAGCGAGCCAAATCGTCAAGTTATCATCACGCCGAGAATAAACAGCGGTGATTGCATTTCGACAATTAACTACACAGACACGGACTTACGAGTAATCATCGCATCATGTACGACCACCAGCGATGGAGTGGGATCTACTAATTGTAGTAGGCAGGTGGCGACAGGGAAACTGCACCCCCTGGCGCCCTTATCTGCGACTTTCTCTGATGATCGCCTCGAGTGAGAATCCGAAACGTTTAGTTTAGTTAGATACCGCAAAGTTTTGGCAAATATAGTTAAATAACTACTACATACTGAACCGAACTAACTAAACTAAGCTAAATAATAAACTACACTAAAACTAAAATCAAATTAATAAACTAAATGATAAACTTAAAACTAAACGAATACCACCGGGTCCCTGAGACAGATTTCTGGGGCTAGGGGTATCTAAGGTGGGCTGCCAACTTCACTTTCACCCTCGCTTAATTGCTTCTATCGACAGTCTACATGAAATCATTGGGCAGATAGCACGTGGGAATATTAAAGGTCGCATTAGGACAGTACCTACCAATCAGACCCCTTGACAGGTCGGAGTAGGTGGCATAACAGTTTTCTACGGATCCATTGCATGCGGTCGCGTAACTACGAAAAATTGATAAAGAACGTCAGATAAGTCAAGAATAGTCACCCCAGCTTCATCTGTCTTTGTCGGTAAAGCTTCTGATTAGAAGTCAGCCCTCTCCACTGTCATTTCAAAGAGACGCCGATCGCTGTCAGGTGCAGGCGGCATCCTGTCCATGCATGGCCGGAACAGTCCCCACTTCCATTATTTGTGGGAGTTCCACGTGTGTGCCGTCTCCCCCTCTAAATATCTCTCTGTTATAAATGTTACAGGGCAGTGCCGCAGCGTCATTGGTATCAACCTGCCCGTCACTAAGTGCCTCCTAAACTTATAACGACGCGCTCTATTGTCCACCGAGGGACCTGTCAGTTGAGGAAGTGGCTACGGTTCCAAACACGCCTATCCGCACGAACACCTCTCATTGTTCTCCCGACTCATTGGAAGGACGCTTCACAGGCTTGCTAGCCTGCTAGCCAGGCCGATAATTCCCTTTTTTTCTAGTCGGTTTTTTCCGTGTCCCCGGCCATTAACTTTGAGTTCGAGGGACCCCGTACCCCCTCTACAGGTGTTCCTCTGAGGGTGCGTGGATAGGGGCCGGGAGGCAGCGAACCAGGACACTTCACAGGTGCTTCCTCATCCGATGTCAGTGTAGGTTATCCAGACGTCATGCGTCATAAGGACTTACATTATATTAACCGACTTCTCTCCAGACCACCTAGAAGAGCCGACAAATAATGTATCAAAGGGCCACCACCGATGCCTGGACGCTGTTTTTTTCTTCGTAGTAGCCCACCTCTAGTCAGCTAAACTATTCAAGCAAAGTATCCAGCATCTTGTAGGCCCCGAAGGCTAACGACATTTGGGATCTACCGCAGTAGGTCGAAGGAGCAAGAGGAGCATTTTAACTGCACGAGGCCTTCCTGATAATTTTACAGCTTGCAGAAGAATTTAGTCTTCGTCAGACGGTAGGAAATATTAGCATTTTAAACAGACTATGCTTTGGCTGGCGTATTCAAAGCCATCTGGTTCAAAAGGGGTCGGTAAGAATGACTCGTATAACCACCTAAGCAGGACATGGAAATAGAAGCACCCCGCCCACTTAGAACAGGCGGCTTTATGATAAATTTGAGGAGGGGTAAACATTCCCCTGTCTTTACCCTAACGATGACTGGTAAGGGTTCCTTATAAGCAACACCACAGTTTACTATAACATAAATAGTGACTAATTTAATTATAATTTATCAAATAGTTTACTTTAGTAACTAGTATATCTGTTTAATATTTTATTTGATTAGTTTAGTCTTTAGTTAGTGTAGTTAGTTAGTGTAGTGTAGTGTAATTTATTTAGTTTAGTTTTAGTTTAGGTTTAGTGTATTATCCAGGTTTATTAGTTTAAGTTTAGTTAGCTATGTGGTTTTGCTTATAAGGAACCCTTACCAATAATCCTAACATAAAACTAAACTCTAACCTGAATCTCAACCATAGCCATACCCTAAACCTAAGCCCGACAGTTAACACGAACCCAACCCTTAACCCTTAACATACTCCTAACAGCAATCCCAACTGTGAACTTAACGCCACCTTTAAACCTAACCCTAAACTCAATTCTAATCCTCATCTTAGGTCTAGACCAAATTTTCCCGGAATTTGGCGCCACACAAGGCTTGTCTATCGAAAAACTTCATTGCAAACTTCTTATGGATGCAAACTTCCTTAAGTTCGTCAAAGGAGCTCCGTGAGAAACCCCTTCTAACATATCTCTGGGAGAGGATGACTTGTATGGCCGCCTAAACAGACACGGCAACAAGAACTACGCTTCTGAAGAAAGTATTAATCGTCGTGTCCATTGTCAGGCACACTTCTAAAATCCATGAGTTCAGCTCACCACTGACTCGTGAAGATACCAACCTCCCTCCCCTCCCTTCCGCACGTAGCCCTAGAGAACTTCGCTTATAACTTCCGCTATCGACCCACGCATCAGGTGTGAACTTCGACTCTAGGTCGGAACACGGGTACCATCCCTTTAAATGCATACGGATTGTTGGCGACAGAGGTTCAGAATAAATGACCTGTTTGCTGAATTCTCAATAAGTCCTGATTTAGTTTCATCTCGAGCTTTCCGCTGCGACCACACTAGAAGTATGTCTTCGCGAAAGCTGGTTCAGTAGCTTCTCTCATCAGCCAGTGGTTTTTCCATCTACTGAAGGGCTGAAATCAGAAATACCCCAAAATTACTCTGCCACGTGCTACTGTCTCAGAAAGTCTCAGCGCGGTTTACGTAGAACAAAGATGCTCCACTAGCAACACTCAGTTAGCTACTTTGGGCTGCGGTCGCCAACAATTGCTCGCATTCGAACAGTATAAATGCCAATCCCTGCCTTGCTATAAAATGGCAAACTCCGCTTAAAGTCTAGAACGTTTATGGCCTGGATACTACTGAGAAGGGACCAAAAGCGGCCTAAAATGATCATATCTGATAGTCGAATGTCTCACTTTATGTTCACTTTGGAAAAGGAGAAGTTTTAGGCAAGTAAATACGGTGAAGACAAAAAAGGATTAATTGTCGATACAAGCGAAAATGTGAGTCCTAGACAACAAATACGAAGGAGTGGTTGCGATCGCTGGAACAAGGACTTTATATGCCTGACTTTCGGATTCCCTTTCGAACCTATACCCAGAGACAGCATAAAGTACGGGAGCCTACTTTATATGCACAGCGTTAGGTCTGACTACGGTGGCATTTTGCTCGGGTGAATATTTCTACTCCTCCGAACAAATAAAATTGAATGCTCCAGAGGAATAGCCAACGGCTGGCATTTTTTGGTGAATTTTGAGCGGAACTGGAGAGTTAAACGGGTTTTGGAACATCGGACATGTTCAATAAAACTGATTTTATAAGGCTTTACAACAATAGGTGGACTGACCTTTGCCTAAAGCTGTAGGTTACGGACGATTATGTCTGTATATGTGATTTTAATATTCCTTAAATTGAAAAATTGAAAATATTTGCAAATATTTATCAGGAGGTATTACGGAGAAAGACAAGAAAGACTGTGCTGGCCATTTCTGGCTTAATAATCGCCGTCGGCTGATATACCCAACCAGAGACCTGGAGAGCCTGGGACGAGCACATCTCATAATCTTATGGGTTAAAGTATTCGCTATGGTAAACAGTTAATCGTCTAAGCAAATATCCATTGTTTCAATAAACTCATAACACCATGAACTTCGAGCCGTTGATCACAGGGGTTTTTTGATTAAAGCGAGCTTCAAATATTTCCATTCTTAGAAATACAATCATGCGCTACAGGGAGAAAACTACAGCAGGACGGTCCATTGATAAGCTTCCTGTCACGTGCATTCTAACTCCCAAATTGTGGGTTTACGGACAGGCAACAGTTAGGCGTTTATTTCCGGCTGAAGATCTGGACATAACAGTGTCTGGGCCCTGAAGCAGGAACGGCGAGCCACTACCTTACTGCATAAACGAGCAACAACACTGGGTACCTCAGTTCGTAAACCATGCGTTTTTCAGTGTTTTCTTTCCCGTCGAAGCTTTAAGGTCAGCACAACCTTTCAGACAGGTCTTTTCTATTACTTTAATGACTACCGGCTGCATCTTTCACGTAACGTTTTTTTCGCATTTTCCTTTCGTGCGTAATTACGTTACTTTCCTTTTTGCACATTTATTTATATGTAGCCACCAAGCGGAAATGGCAGCTATCAGCCTACTTAATCGCGTCACAGGGTCTTCGGATGCAACTTACCTTAAATTGGACGAATCGGACCTCTCACAGCGTCATCTGCAAATGAGAACTGATGTCTACGAGTCGATAGGCCATTCCTCCATGAGCGTCTATGTCAACTCCTGGTATGTTGGCCATTCTCAGGCTGTGGGTCCGCGTCGCCCACGGGTTGATTGTGCTGGTGACGATGTCCCAGCCACATTCTTTACGCCCGCTTCGGACTTCGCCGCATCTAACGGCGTACGTCAGTCGTCGACCAATCAACAGTCCGCCGTAAACGCCGCCGCCGCCCCCGGGGTGCCTCCTTCAGTTAGCGGTTGGCAGACCCCAGACTCTGGTGCCTGCAGTTGCAGCACCAATGATGCTAGCGGATCCGCAGCCACTGGTCCAGGGATTCCACTGACATCGAATGTTCAGTGCGTCTACCCTCCCGGTGCGGGCCACCCAG